AAAGTTTTTGAACATTGTCCTTAGAAATGAATTGACGAAAAATGTTGATGTAAATTAGGTCGACTTTCATGATCATATTTCAATTGATTAGTTTGCTAAAGTTTATTTAAAATGAAACATGAAACTTGATCAAAATTTTCAATCAAATTATCAAACAATAACAGGGATTGATCTAATAACGATTTTATTTAAAACTTTAAATTAGATTTTCTTAAATTGAAATGCAGCAAACTTAAGAATCAAAAATTTATTATATCAATTGGTAATCAGAAATTCAATTTATCTCCTGAAACCAGATTAAAATATGGATACACTAGTTATCACTCTCAATATGTAATATCTAAATCTTTGTTAATATTGCAAACTTATAAAATAAACTCATTGATCATTGAAGCTAACTCTTTAATAACTCAAAAATATACAAAAATTTTAAAATGTATCATTTAATATTGAACATTGTCACTCATTTAATTGATAACATCCAATATAGTAAATACAATTGAAAAACAAGAAAACTTAATATCTAGGATTTAGTGAAACATGCTTAAGATTTAAATTAGTTATTAATGAAAAAATGTGAAAGTTGCTCCAACTGAAAGAGAGAAACGGGTTTATTTTTTAAAAACTCGTGTATCGATTGTGTACAATGACCCGTTGTTTACCTCAATAGAGCCTTGTTTTGTGTGAATTTGTAAATAACTATCATGATCCATGACAACATCACTGTCATGATACACGTCAAAGCGAATCACAACCAGAACTGTTTTTATAACATTTAAAGTAAACAGAAGTTGAATAAAGAATATAAGAATGTTTAGTATTAGATACATTAAGATGTAATCTCTCAGGTATTTCAATAGTCTTTTCTAGTTCACCATATTCCATAGGAAAATACAATATTCCAGGGATGTTAGAAATGATCATGAATAAAGGGCGCTATGATGTATTTGGAATGGAATTTTTGATTAGAAGAACAGACTTTAGCATCCAAAGTTATCTGAAAATTGAGGGTCATTTTAATCAAATGAATAAAAGCACAAAAAGTAAATGGTCTTCTAGCACAATTACAAGAATAAGTACAAAAAATTTTAAGAAAAAAATATTCAGGCAAACTTTCAATTTCACTCTCTCATAATATAAGCTAACTTTCATCACCAGGAGTGCAAAACCCAGGATTAAGATATAGAACCAACCATCGAACTGAAGCCTTTGAACAAAGAATTATCTAAAGCTAAAATGGGATTCAAAATATGAACACTTTCAGAAGAATCGCTAGTACCATTACCCTCGTAACTATTATCGAATTTGAATCAGCAATGTTTTCAAACATTAGACAAGTTTTTCGCCGATCATTCGTTTCAGACGAAAATTGAGCATAACGAAGGCATTCAATGTGATTTTAATGATATCAACACATTTCGATTCTATAGACTTTCCTGTGTTAGGACGTCCAATTCAATCATCTAATGTTTTCGCCTCTAATGAAACTTTCATGTTTTACTTGAAGCAACCAATGTTTCCTGTGAGCCTCAAGATTTATCAGTAACAAGGAGTCAGTCAATATCATTTAGTAACAAGTATTGGACAACAAGTAAAGCGAATACGAAAGGTGATAATACAATTTAATGTTGATTTGCAATAATCATTGTCTAAACTCAATGAGTAAATTATGTTTTCTATTAACAGACCAAATGGTTAACCAGCAATCAATATTAACAGTAATTGTCAGTCGAATGGCCAGTGAAAGTGAAATCTCACGAGAGTTCATTCACAACTTATCATGCAATTGCTGCAACTAAACTGAATAAACAGTTTGGATTAAACAACAACTTCCAAGTAAACTGTTAGTTGATAATCAATGAAAATTGTTTTGTTATTAAATTTACAATTCTGATTAGCATTGGTAATCAAATAACATAACAATTGACCTTCAAAGGTTTTCATGGGCAAAGAAAAAAATAGCCTTGAAATGTGATAATTGAATCAAGTTACACTCAGCAATCAATCATTGAATAATTTTATTCAGCAAACGGAAAGAAATGAGAAGAAAATTTTGGTGAAAATTTTTAACCACAAAAGTTGATTAACGATTAATGATTTACCTTTCAGGTTTTGGTTACTTACTCATCAACTTATGTTTTAGTTTCAGTATCAATTGATCGTTACGATGCTGTTACAAATCCGCTCAATTTTTCATCAAGCTGTAAGTCAATGTTATTGATTAACTATTCAATGACTTTTATTGATTAACCTTTTCCTTTATTGATTTTTGACCTTTTTTGTTGCCTTTCTGTCTCTTCATCCTTCATTGTATACATCGACACTTGCTGATGGCAAACCTGAACAATCACAGAATTATGATCCAAAATTAATTGATTGTCAATTGAAATACATTTTTCCCTTTTACCCATTTTTTCATTGAAAATAGTGAATCAGATTTGAGATAATTTATTATTGTTCATAAGCTATTATTTTGTTCAAGTGCAAACATGATGGATAAAGATGTAATATTGTAGACAAAATTATCCAAATTAAAACGTCCAATGACCTGAGATAGACGTATAAATCAGTATAAATCTGTCTAATCCTTTATCTGACTTTGCCTTTTTTAGGGTCAAGAGCTCGTCGGTTGGTCGTTATTTCATGGGTCCTTAGCTTTGTCTTTGCTGTTCCAGCAGCTTTTCTCAATCAAGAGGCTGAAATTAAAGGCCATATACAGTGTTGGATCAACTTGAGTTCAATTGGCTGGCGTTTGTATATTACTTTGATTGCATTTACACTGTTTTTCATTCCCGCAATCATCATTGCTGCTTGCTATTGTGCCATTGTCCATGTCATCTGGACTAAAAGTCCATACACGGCTTCAGATGATTATAATATACGAAAATTAGTTTCAAATCGTTTGGAATCAATGGACAAGATTTTAACGGCCAGTTCTTTGGATCAATCAAAATATCTCAGCTCTAGCGAAAAAGGTGAATATCTTTTCAATTACTATATCCAAGACAATTTTATGTGACTTAATTTAAAAAAGATGTAAATTCAAATCTGAATCACAGGAAAACAGAAGTCTAATCAGTTTTAATACAGATTAAATCTGATTAAGGGCCAGTCCGGCATAGTCTAGTTTAGCTTGACTAATGATTTGATTTGTAATGTAGTCTCTGAAGTGTAGCATTTGACGATTTAATTGTCATTGACTTGCAGAAATGCTGTGAGAGCCATCTTTCATGCACTTCTGAAAAAATCCCGTGAACATAAAATCTCTTTGTGAAACATTTATCACATACCTATCTTTAGGACAATGAAAGCAGCTCTTCTAGACTCTGCAGTTCATACTTTTTGAGATTTTTTAAATAAATCAGGAATAATTGAAAGTTCACTAATAAATAATATTGAAAACTGCTACTCTGTAGCCAGGAACAGTTTCAACTGAGGAAGAATAAGCTGAAAAACTATTGTTTCAATTGATGTCCCAAGTAAACCGAATTTAAACACTTTCTGGATGGAAAGAGAAAACATAATATTATAATTTGAATATCAGTTCATTCATCATAAATTAGACAGTTTTGCAGGCTAGTAGATCAAAATGAAACACTCTGTGGAAATAAGAATTTAATTCTGCATTTGAAGTCTATTCTTGGCATAGCTGGACGCTTAGAGTGATTATTACTTATTCGGGTTGATCAATAACCAAACTTTTCTATTTATTTTTGGAGAATCAAACTTTTACACAAAAAATTAACCTTTTATCATAAAAGTCATTGAACCGTTTTATCAAATGCTCTGCAGTTTTTACTCATCTATATTAATTATAGACCAAGTATACAGCATATTATGTTATCGTTATAATACGGAGATGAAATAAAACTCTCAATTTAGAAATTCCTATGCAAGTTCTCGTTTCAAAGTAAAAAATCAATCTGTAATTGTGCTCAATACCCTTGTAAATACAGAAGAGTGATAAAATTGTCAATCATAAAAATAGTTGACTGATTGATTGAAATAGAGCCACAGTTTGATTGAAAGCCAATAGATGGCAGTTATCAAGCCATCCAGTCATAAGCATCACTTGAATAAATGCATTTGACGAGAAAATTTTTAGCGAAAAAACGAGATTAATTTGGTAAATAAAATTAGGGAGGAGAAAAGGTTGAAATCATTGACCTTGCTAAATATTGAATAATAATAGAGAATCATGAAATGCTTTGCAGGGAATTATTTTTATCAATAATGTTAATGCTGAAAATAGCTGACCAAGAAGTTGTGTTACAGATTTAGTAAATGGATTTGGATGCGATTTGATAGAAGCAAAAAGTTTACCATCAAATTGTCTCATAAATCGTCCAATAAATGGGCTAAAGATTGATCTTTACTTTTGGTAATCAGTTAAATGGTAATCAAAAAGAAGCTGAAAAAATCGAACCAGAAAAGGAGAGAAAACCAGAGAATAGTGTTTAACCAAAATTAATAACATCTATTAATACCACTTGTTATTTTGATGCAATCCTTTATTGTTTCTGGTTACTTCTACATGTCTTCATACCAAACAAAATTAATGTTATAATCATCATAATTGTCGTTATTAAACAGCAAACTATTGGCCATTCAACTCTACAAATTAATATTTTGTTTTTACAGGAATGAGTTTAACTGCCAGTGAAGATGATTTGAGTGGATTGAAAAGAGCCAGTTCTAGAGGTGTTATCCCAAAGGCCAAGATCAAGAGCGTTCAAATGACTTTGGTAATTGTTTTAGGTAAGTTGTCAATATTGAATACTAAAATGATTAAAGATTAAACTTGAATTTTTCGTGACCATAAAACTGGTAATGTAACTCAGTATGAGTATCTCAAGAGTCACCAAGAAAGAAACACTGAACTGAAAAGTGCCTGAAAATTACTGTTTCTTTATCATTACTTTTCATTTTCTCAACCAGTTTTCATCCTTTGTTGGAGTCCTTATTTTGTTTGGGATCTTTTACAAGTCTATGGATTTATACCAATTAATCAAACAACGGTGGCCATATCAACATTCATTCAATCAATGGCTCCATTAAACAGTGCTGCTAATCCAATAATTTATGGACTTTTTTCAACTCATCTTTGCAGAAACATAAGAATAAATTGACAAAATCGAAGCCAGAAAATCATAATCAATATTGAAACCTTGAATGGCAAAGACTATTGTAACAACTTTGAAAGCAAAGACATTAAATGAAAATAAAGATGCCATTTCTTTCAATTCAATGCTTTTTTACATTCACTTTTCACTGAAAGTTCAACGACTAGAGATTAAACTCGTCTCGACACAAACTGCTCAACATAATGTTTCAAATTCAAGACTCAGTTCAATTTCAGAATCATATTCTTTTTCAAAAATCACTTCAAATCCTTTATCTGTACTCGACTGATTTTTGAAGCGGATCGATTTTCTATATTTTATCAAAAAGTTTTGCCCAACCATAAACTTGGAAAAAACTGGCACATTTATGGTGTATCGGATTATTATTTGATCAATGTTATCATATTCAAATTTGTCAGTTTTGCCATTTAAAATCAATAAGAATCCTGAAATTTACAAGTTAGAATCATGTTAAAATGAATTTGTTAAGGTTATCTATTTTTCAGGCCAAGCAAGATTTGCCAAAACTCGGGGGGTGCAGGTACGGCGTTGTGCGATAATGGTGTGAGACAATCCTGATCAAAATAAAAAAAAGAAAGTTAATTTAAACTCTTGCAAGCAGATATAGAATTTTGAGCCAATCTTAGAATCTCAGAATAAGGTGTCAACATAATGAATTCAGCTGAAACACGGATATAAAATGTAGTCATCATTATATTTTGAGTCAAAGTTAGATAAATATTTGTACTTACATTAGGATCTAATGAATCAACTCTAACAGTGTTGTCAGCTAGTCCGATTGCTAGAAAACGAGATCTTTGTTCACTTGAAGGCACAGCCCCAAGAGCCAAACAAATGACTTCACAGGCCATATCCTTTCTATCAGTATATTAATTCAAGTTCATCTACTAATACCAAATTTTTTAAAGGTCTTGGATTAAAAAAGAATGTATCGCCCTCTTCAAGCAGCATAGCGCTACTTAATTCAGGTTCATCATCATCATCACCCAAATGAGCTATTTGATACAGATAATGATTAAAAATTCGGAGGCAACAAAGAGGAAGCCCGTTTTCAATACACACATCGCAGTTGCAACGGGTACAGTGTCAAAATACTTGAGACGAATTTCCATGACAGTTTCATCTTCTGTTTTAGTAATTTTAAAATTTCTCTTTATTTAGTCTGGACTAAAAAGAAAAACATTGATTTGGTTTTGTGGGTAGAACAGCAAACAAAAATCATTCCTCGATCAGGATCATCGAGGTCATTTCTCCTACGAGGTATTGGATAACGAAAATCATGCTGATCTCCGAAGTTCTAATAATGTAGGTTTCTGAGCAAACCAGAACACCACTCGGTCCATCAGCACCTACAGGAACAGATAGGAAAAAGTTGCCATGTTCTTCCAAAGACTCACTATAATTTCGTACAATTGATGAAGAATAATGAAGATTAGTAAAGTTTGGTTGATAACAATAGCAATTTACTAGGGTTAGCTTCATTACAAAATTATCAGAACTTCTTAGAGGAAAATAAATCACAAAGGGTTCATAAGCATAATTTTTCATCATTTAAAATTGTAATGTATGCTCTGATTAGTCAAAATTGCTAATGAACTTACTTATCATTTATGCTCAAAGATTGAGGATTGTAATCAAGAATGACAATTCGCCCAGAATCATAAGAAATACATATAGCTAAATAAATAATCTTTGGATCCTCCAGTTAAACGAAAAGCCAACATGGACCGTATTATACCCAAAAACTGCAACAGATACGAGAGTATGAATTTTGCCGGTATTTATATCAAGTCTGATGAGCTCCAAGGCTCTTCCTTTAGAGATGGCGATCTCTTGATGTTTGGTGCCAGCAAAATTACCATGAATAGCATGGGTAATCCCACTGCCCAACATCGATTACAACAGTATGATAAACCAAGGTATTTGATTTGTGGGCTTCTAGGAAAGAAGAAATTGTCAACCGCGCTTGACTATCTCTGTTTAAAATATAGACTATTTGTTTCTCAACAGCACCTAAAGTGAACAAGAATAATGAATAATGAAGATTAAAATTTGATGGAACACGTCACCACTTTATAAGGGTTAATTTCATTACAAATTTATCAGAACTTCTTAGAGGGTTAATAAATCACAAAGGGTTCATAAGCATAATTTTTCATCATTCAAAATTGTAATGTATGCTCTAATTAATCAGAATTATGAACTTACATATCATTAAAGCTTTTCTTTTGGCATCAATAGCTAAATATTGTCCGGTGCCAATTCGACAAGACCCAAGGTTTCAACAACACCTAAAGTGAACAGGAATAATGAATATTAAAATTTGATGCCACACAAAAGCAATTAACTAAGGTTGGTTACAATACAAAATTATCAGAACTTCTTAGAGGAAAATAAAATCACAAAGGGTTCATTAGCATAATTTTTCATCATTTAAAATTGTAATATATGCTCTAATTAGTCAAAATTTGCTCATGAACTTACTTATCATTAATGCTCTTCCCTTAGGATCCATAGCTTAATATTGTCCGGCGACAATTCGACGACATCCAGATGTGCCATTAGTTTCTTGGTGAACCTAAAGAGCGGCAACACAAATTAATAAAATAGAACAAAAGAATAATAACCAAAATTACCTTAGCGAAAACATTTTTAGCTGGATTGTATTCAAGAATGACAACCAGTACCAAGAGCTAAGTAATCTTCAGATCCAAAGTTAAACGAAAAGCCAGCATGGACCGTATTATCCCGAAAACTTCGATAGGATGAAATTAGACCCATGAAGAGCATGAATAATCTCACTGGCCCTTTGAAGGGTTATATTATTCAAATGCATGGCACCAAATAAACGTATTTAAAAAACATTTATCAAAACACGTACAATGATGATCATTAGTTAACTTAAAAATAATTTTGAAAATTTCTGAACCCTTAATAAATAGCGAAAACAAAGCACGTGTTTCCGGAGAGTTGCTAAGCAATCCAGTAAAGTAATAAGAGGTGACACCTCTGAGGCCCAAACTGATAATCAGAAGGCGCTTTAATTGAAATGCAAAGATAAAGCACCAATTATGAAAGATATCAGATCTGTTGATTGGAAGATGGAGATGAATGGTGAAGAAAAAAATGTAGATGAAGAAGAAAGGATTTAAAGTCAAATACTCGTATGAAATGAGCTCAAATGAGGCGCACGTACTTTTTGTGCCATTGAATAATGTACGTGCAAAAATACGTGCCACGCTTTGTTCATCATCAACCTCATCATTCTTCACTTTTTATCGTCACTTTTTATCCTGTTATGCAGTTCACTTTCTCAGTTCATCTTCTAGTAATAATCGTTTCAAATTTCAAATGTTACAAGTTTGATTAATTGTCTTGATCAAAGTGGTTCATCATTGTACTTGCAAATGATTGTGAATGTTAAAACATGAGTATGAGTTTAACTAGTGAATTTTGTTTTGTTTTTGTTAGTTAAATGATTAACCTTGTCTGAACTTGTGAGCTTTGTTTTCACTGTTCAATTGAATCCACAAACAAAATCATTGGTTTCAGGGTTGAGAGCCTTTTGCTTTGCAAAGTTGTTTTCAGACTCTTGTTGTACCATTTATGATACAATTAAGTCTTCCAAGGCGAGTGTGGCCACACACATTGAGCACACTTTGACAATTAGCTTGTTCCTATGTGCGTAGGGTCACAGTCTTAATGTGGTTGTCAAAATAATGCAAATGAGCGTTACAAGTTGGATGGTCACTCAAGGCATTTCCCTTTATTTTACCATATTAACTTCATTTTTCAACATATTAATTATCAAGTTGAACGTTTAAACGCTTTTAATGGTTTGTCAAATGCGAGTATTGAGTATTTACCGTTCCGAGAAGCGCAATTTGGAATTGATTGTTTTCAATTTACTCTTGAAAGTAAACATTTAATTATAAATAAATTAATGCCATTATAAATTGCAATAAATTTCATTATTATTGATAGTGTATAATTGTTACAATTAAAAAAGAAAAAGTTTGTCAATATTTATTATTAGCAGGGATGAAGTTGATGATAAATTATATTCATTATTACAATATTAATCAAAATAATCAAAATATTATTTAAGGCCTCGTCGAGTCAAGAAGCCTTATCGTCTCTGAAAGCGCCCAAATGTAATTATGAGCATATCGAAGTGTCTCAATTTTAGTTAGTTTAGTGTCTTCCGAGGCTGTCGGTAAAATCTTGCGAAGAGTTTCCAGTGCTTGATTTAAACTGTGCATACGATTACGTTCCCGGTCATTTGCTTTTACCCGACGATTACGCTTCAATTTGTTTACCAAAGTTGGACTTCTTGCTCTGGTTCTTCGAGTTTTAGTTCCTTTGGATCGTTTATCACTATTGTTGCAATTACCATGATCACTCTTAATGTTATTATTATTGTTAATGATGTTATTGAATGATTTTTGTTGCTCTTCTTTAACCATGATCGAAATTTCCTCGTCAAGATCATCATCTTCATCATCCTCGTTATCACCCATCATAGAGTCAAACATTGAAGTTGATGAAGGTGTCAATGGTTGATGGTTTAATGAGCTTATGGTCAAAGGAGACTGTGTGTAGGGTATTAAAGGAGTTAAGGATAGTTCACGGAAGGGTCGAGTTGGTCCCATTGATGAAGATGATGAGTTTAAAGATGAAGTTATGGTTGTGCCATGGAATGAGTAGGATGAAGAAGATGAAGATGAGCAAGATGATAAAGGCGAGAAAGGCGATGAAAGTAGACTTGGTGAGGTTGACGGTAAAGGTGAAAAGTTGGATATGGAAGAGGCTGGAGGTGAGATTAAATACACACTTGGTTCAGCCATCGAGTCGGTTGATTCAATAAGAACCCGTTGATTGAAATTTTATCACGATAAAGTCCGTTGGATATGAAGTTTAGTCCGCTTTTAAGTAACACTGAAAGTTGGTTCACTTTGTTGACAATGAGTTTAGTAAAATGTCCCAAACTGATGTTCAAATTGAAATGAGCTTCACTTATGGGACACTCTTTGATCGGCTCCTAGACTATGCTTTGGCTGTGTAGGTCCGCCCCTTATGAGACACATTTCCCCGCCTCGCAAAGTAAAAGATGATAACCTATTCAATAATAATACGGTCTTTGTGCGCATAACGTGCGACTGAAAGGGAAGATGAAGAGAAAAGAGGAAGATGAAAAAACCAAAAAGATTTAATGGTTGGGACAAAAGGAATGAAACTGAAGGCAAATCACATTAGGAGTGGCACAAGTGGCACTGTCAATATCTACCTGATCAGTTGTTGAGCGAAAAACAAGAAAAATTTCAATTAATTATGAAATCGAAAACATTGTCATCGATTCCAATCAATTTTCCTTTTTCTACAAAATTGTCGCAAGCTTTGTACAGTTTAGGACAAAATGTGAATTGCTCTTGTCTCATAAAATTGAACTAAATTTTTATCCTAACATTAAGACCAAACCTTTCGGCCAATTTCAAAACAATCAACCTGAAATTGGACTGAATAGTGGAAAGGGAAAAATGCTGTTCTTTGCAAAAATCAAGAAAAATGTTAACCAAAAAATTGAAATCAAATGATTGTTGTTCAATGATTTGGTGATTTACTTCCTTGAGATTGTTTTGTCAACTGTTCCAAGTAATGACAAGTTTTGAGTGTTCAGTGTTTTCAATTTATATTCATTTATAAAATTACGTTCAAAATTATTAAAAGATTGCTTATAAAGCAAATAATAAAAGGTGAAAAAATAGGAAAAGTTTGTTGTCCTTTCATCGAAAGGAATAACAAACAAAAGATCAATTTTAGATGAACGCTAAATGTGTCCATGCATTTGCTTGAAATGTAGAGTAACCATAAACTGACCATTTAACCATGCAAATAAATTACATTTGATGTTTACGCAAAACTCCCAAACTTTTTGAAGACAACAGCAATCATACAAGTTAACAGATACAGATTCACTCCCAGTTTTTAATTGAAATAATAAAGAGTATCGATAATTTATTTTCTTTCCTCTTTCCATCCAAAGTAAATCATTTCATTTAGTCTTGTTCAATAAGCTATGACACATATTTAAATGATGCAAATATAATATAATAAGTATAAAAGAAATGGCGAACAAGAAAAATGATAATGATAAGAAGATGATTCCAACAGGAATAACAAAGTCGCAATTATTATATCATAACCTTTTGTGTATTTGTAATAATAAAAAAGTCAACCTTGTTTTAGTTGACCTTTATTTTCAGCCGCCCGTCAGTTTGAAGTTGCTTGAATTACCGTTTCATCGACTATTAGATAGCTATAAAACTTGTAAACCTCGATATCAAGCAAAAATTTAGGGTCACATTTAAAATAGATTATTAGACTTTACGAGAAACTCCAATGTCTATACATTTGATCGGCAGTGTCCAACCATTTCAAGATCAAGATAAATTTCGAGTTTCAAGATTATTTTCATCCAAAAATCTTTTCTGTTAAGCCCAGTTTTGCTAGATTTCATGTTAAATAATAAATGTTGAAAGTAATTTGTGAAACTAAAGTTGACTTTTCAACTAATTTCATGCTAGTTTGCCATTGAAAATTTGTTCTCTCAAAAAGTACTGAAATGGTTAAACTCGATTGATTTTTAAAATTGTTTGCTTTTGTTTGTAACCATTTTCCTTGTGCATTTTTTGGATGGAAATGGATTTTGATCTTTGAATAACTTGCAGTTTTGACCATATTTTTAGAGTTTCTTTTACCATTAGCTCAGTTAAACAATCGGCATGACTTTAATATTGAGTAATCAATTAACACTCGTGTTTTCACCTTTTTTACAACTCGGACTTCTATTTGCAGTGATTTACTATCAATAGCTTAGTAAACATACTTTATTTTCACCTTGATATTGTTTCAACCAGAAATGTCAACAGTAAATATTATAAAATGTTATTATTTTATTGTAACCATGATAAACTGATGGCTTTTTGGACACCTTCAGACTTTTTATGAGTTTCATCCATCAAAGGAGGATAGCCAAAATGTGCGATTTTCGGTTTGTATTCAGAATTTGTCGAACCATATCTGAATCGAAAGCTTATGATGAGTATGCTTATGCCTCCCCTGTATTTCTTATTTTGACGATTTTATTCAATTTGCAATTGATTGTTTTCACTTGACTCTTGAAAGTAAACATTTAATTATAAATAAATTAATGCCATTATAAATTGCAATAAAAGTCATTATTATTGATAGTGTATAATTGTTACAATTAAAAAGAAAAAGTTTATCAATATTTATTATTAGCAGGGATGAAGTTGATGATAAAATATATTCATTATTACAATATTAATCAAAATAAATAAAAATTATTCAAGGTCTCGTCGAGTCAAGAAGCCTTATCGTCTCTGAAAGCGCCCAAATGTAGTTATGAGCATATCGAAGTGTCTCAATTTTAGTTAATTTAGTTTCTTCCGAGGCTGTCGGTAAAATCTTGCGAAGACGTTCAAGTGCTTGATTTAAATTGTGCATACGATTACGTTCCCGGTCATTTGCTTTTACCCGACGATTACGCTTCAATTTGTTTACCAAAGTTGGACTTCTTGCTCTGGTTCGTCGAGTTTTCGTTCCTTTGGATCGTTTATTATTATTGTTATTACCATGGTCGTTCTTATTGTTATTATTGTTAATGATGTTATTGAATGATTTTTGTTGCTCTTCTTTAACCATGATCGAAATGTCCTCGTCAAGATCATCATCATCTTCATCATCCTCGTCATCATCCATCATAGAGTCAAACATTGAGGATGAAGGTGTCAAGGGTTGATGGTTTAATGAGCTTGTGGTCAGAGGCGACGGTGTACAGGGCATTAAAGGAGTCAAGGATAGGTTACGGAAGGGTCGAGTTGGTGCCATTGAGGAAGATGATGAGGTCAGGGATGAGGTTAAAGATGAAGTTATGGCTGTTGCATTGGATGCATGCGATGAAGAAGATGGCGATGAGCAAGATGATAAAGGTGAGCAAGGCGATGAATGTAGACTTGGTGAGGCTGAAGGTAAAGGTGACAAGTTGGATATGGAAGAGGTTGTAGATGAGATTAAATGCACACTTGGTTCATCCATCAAGTCGGTTGATTCAATGAGAACCGGACTTTTCAGGTTAACAGAGTTCATGTTGAGTTGGTGAAAGTGATTAGGTTGATGAGATGAATGTACAAAAGAGGGATGATGATTGGGATGATAAGGTGAAGATTTTCCGTGAATTTGAGTGAAAAAGTCACCAAAAGGTTCGATAACAGTTGTCGCTGTTACGGTTGTTGTTGCCGATGTTGACCCCAACGAGGCTGGTGTTATGGTTGCTGGTAAGATTGTAGTCATTGGGTTCAACATTTGATTAAATGGTTCAGTTGAAAGTCGAAGTGAATGCATTTTAAATGTCACTTGGATAAGGTTAAAGGAAAATCAATTTTCAATAAAAAAGTGTCCAAAATAGAAATACTTTATTCTCTTTTTCGAGTTTCTTTTGTTGATCTTTCCACAAAAATTTTTTTCTCCTTCGATTATGATTTCAACCTTTTCTCCTCTCGGATCAACTCCATCATTACCATTATTACAACTATTGCATTTTGATTGGAAATCTGAGGAAAAGTGAAAAAAAACGAGAAAAAAGTCGATATTAAACAATGAACTTTAATCAATAACATCAACACCTTTAAACCCTTTGATTCAAGATTAACACCTTGCTTAGGTTTGGCTCTTTTTGTCCAACTTGCAAGGAAATTGGCAAAAAATAATTTCTTTATTTCTCAACACCTTTGATGGTTTTTCACCTTTCATTGAATTAAAATTGGTTAAGATGATCAGAATCAATTTTAAGTTTCACTTTTACTTGATGACAATCTTTACCTTTGAAAGGCTTTTCTTTTACTTGAACAAGTTCAATGTAAAGTTGAATGAAATTGTAATAAATTGTATAAAAAAAGAGAGAAAAGCTTTTATTTCAAAAGTGCGAACCTGAATTGGTCAACAAATTGATTTCAACAAAAGAAGCAAAAAGGCAAAAGGAAAAGGGTTAAATGGTAAATTGTAAAAAGCGAGACAAAATGTTGACCGATGAAACAAAAAAGGTAAAGTGCGAAGGCAAAAGGATGACAAAAAGAGAAGAAAAAAGTTTTAAGAAAAGTAAAACTGTAAATCGCACTGGACCGTAAGTGTGTTAATCAGAAAGGGTCAAGCATTAAAGATGAAAGGATGAAAAAGAGGAAGAAAGGTTACAACAGGTCAAGAAAGAGGTGACAATAAAGTTGCCAGTGATTTTTGATGGAAATGTTTTTTTTCTAATTGAAACATTCTTTACCAATTTTAAAGTGTAACCAAAGTGTGAAGTCCTTCAAGACTCTCTCGAAATGACCTTTCAATGTTACAATAAAGTAATCTTTCATGCAAAGGTGAAAACAGAGAAGAGAAAGAAAAGAAAGAAACTTTTCTTGAAACCTCTTGAAAGGGTTAAACAGAGTGGAATGAATCAACCTGGAAAATCAATTTGAAAGTATCGGTGAATGTGACCGTTGAGAGGGTGGATAATAACAATAATAACGACTAATTGTCCGACCTAAGATATGCACTTGAAAGATGACAATGAGTTGCCAACGGCCTTTGATCATTGTGACCAATTAGACCATTTTATTTCGCTTTTCAATTTGTTTTTTTGTTTTTTTCCTTCAAATGTCAATTTCAGTTGAAACGTTCAATGTTGCATTAAATATCCAAATGTAAATAATTGCTGGTTTTTCATTCACTTATTTAGTGGTTAGTTTATACAGCATCGAAAGTAAAGTTAGAGCTGGTTACGTTATCTTTTGCACATTGTTTGGTAACCAAGCATATTTTAGTAGTCAATTTTTAGAGATAAATTAAGCACAATCAACATCAACCCGAGGCTCATTGGTTAAGGCATTGAATCGTTGTTGA